TTTTTTTTTTTTTTTTTTTTTTTTTGGTACCGAGGATTGAACTGGGGTCCTTGCGCTTGCAAGGCAGGCCACCAAACCGCTGAGCTAAATCCCCGACCCATGATAGAATGGTTTTACCATAGTCAGAGGACCTGTTCAAGATGGACAAAAAGTTTTCCCATAATTTTAAGGGACATTAAAAATATTAGGAATTCATTGTAAATAATCTACAGTGAAATATTTACCATATTAAGTATTTAAAAGTTTATTCCAGGGATCAGCAAGCTTCTGTGAAGGGACAGATGATAAATATTTCAGGCTCTGTTAACCAACTCGGCTTTAGTCACAATGTCTCAAGTCTTGTTATAGCATAAAAACACCTGCAGATGATGTATAGTGAATAAACATGGCTGTGCTCCCAGAAAACCTTATTTTACAGGCAGCAGATAGAATTTGCCCCCCAGCCTGTAGTTTGTGGACCTCTGGTTTATATGGAATTATGCTATAAATAAGCTAAAATATACTGCTAAAATTATTAGTAACTGTTTGTGTATTTTGAACTTTCTGCATTGTAAATATTGGCTGAACATTGTAATACTGATCGAATGCAATTTTGGAATGTAAATAATAGTGCCCAAGGGCCTGAAATTTAAAAAAATTTTCTTATATTTCTCTTTTAGGTTACATTTTGAGTATTCCGTCCTCTTAACTCTCACTGTGCTCATCTCATTCTCATTATTTTGTAAACAGTGTTTTCATTTGCCAGCATAGAAAATCTTTCTAAAATGAAAGCACAATGCCATCCATATCAGGTGGTTTTACAAGGGAGACCATGATTGTACTACTTTGATAATGACAGAAAATTGTTGAACTAAAGTTACCACTGTATGTAATGTTAGGATTATAAATAATAAAACTCTTGGTTATTTTTATCCCAGCAAAGTAATGAATTCCTGAGGAATAATTAACTAATGGTCAGGGTTTGAGAAATTTATTTACAATATGAAGTGCCTTTAAAATTATAAATGTCTATTTAGTTATTTATACACAATCTCAGCGTGAAGTTAATGGTGCAAATATAATGTCCATAAAGGTCTCTTCAAACCAGGAGGTTTCTCACCTGTTCCTTGACCCAGCTGTAAATGAGTATTTTTATTCATGAGCGTGAAACAATTCTTGCCATGAAATTTCTCTATCTTAATCATTAAAAATATTGATGCAGGAACTGTTAATTTTTAAATTACATACATCAATTTCTTTAGTTTTTACTTAGCTAGTTCTTAAGTGCCCTTGAGAATGGAAGGGAGAGATAAATGGCCTACAAATCCTAAGACTTATATCCACTATCTTAAAGTATGTAAGGGTTAATTGTTCATTAAAATATTAAAAAATATTTTAAGGGCTCATTGTTTTCTTTTGGGGATACCTGTAGGTTAATGAAATATCCCCTCAGGTTCTTCATTAGAAAAGCATACCTGTCACTTAGTGTTATATATTACTTAATGAAATATAGTCTGAAGAAACAGTTACTGTGTTACTGTACATCTTACTAATAAGTAGAAAATGGAAGCAAAATGTCTTTTAGCAGATTAGGTGTTCACATAGAAAAGAGACTTTAGTTGTGAGTTGTTTCAAGACAGACTTCAAGATGATGATGTCATTTCATTTGAGGAAACTTGAAAGGCGATGCTCTTGACAGAGATGGCTGTGGAACAACATCCATTCAGAGAACCAACAACTGAGCATTGGTGTCTTCAGGAAGCAACACTGACCGGTGTGGCTAGAATGAAGAGCATATTTAAGGGAGTAGTGTTAGATAAAACTGAAAAGAAAGCCAAAGTTGTAGCTCAGAAAGTTGGATGGATACTTTGCAGTTCCTATGAACCCACTGTTAATTGTGTGAAGACTTTTGTCTGTTCTGAATTACAGCTTTCCATCCAAAGTTATGTGGGCAAGGCAGACTGGGGAAATTAGTCACTATTTAGCGAAGCAAGTAGTAACATCCATTGTTAGTGGGTATCAAAATCAGTGGAACTCTTTTGGAAAGCAATTTGATAAAGATTATCAAGAATATTAGTTTCGTCTGGGGACTTAGCTCAGTGGTTCCTCCACCTGCCTTGCAAGCGCAAGGACCCACATTTGATCCCCAGTGCCAAAAAATAAAAAGAATATTAGTTTCAAAAGTACACTTTGAGTAAAAAGAAAGAAAATCCTATTTCTAATCTGTCATGAAGCAGTAAAATAAGGTCGCAAGGTCGCACTGTGCGAGTGTAATTTAGAAAAAAAAATCAGTTGCTTTCCTATATTACATCAGTGAAAAGTGGAATTTGAAATTAAAACAATTATATACTAGCAAAAAATGAAATATTCAGGCATAGATCTAACAAAATGGGTAAAGTTCTGTATGAAGAAGACTACAAGACTGATGAAAGAAATCAAAGAAGGACTAAACCAATAGGTGTTCTATGTTCATGGTTAGGAAAACTTAGTATTGTCACAATGTTGATTCTTCTTGTATTGATCTGTAGATTCAATGCAATCCCAATCAAAATACAACAAGTTGTTTGTGAATATCAATAAACTGATTCCTAACTTTTTATGGAAAGAAAGAAGACTCAGAATTGCTCACACAATACTGAATAAGAACAAAGACAAGTTTCACACCACCTGACTTCGAGATTTCCTGTAAAACTACAGAAATCAAGAAGGATGAAATAGACAAATACAAAATGGTAAAGAATAGGAAACCTAGAAATAGACACACAGCAGTACAGCAGTTTGATAAATAAGCAAAGCTAATGCAGGGAGGGAAAATAGTTTTTTCAACAAGTGATGCTGGAACAACTGGATATCTAGCTATCTTTGTATCTATCTTATCTATTTATCTTTGTTCATTCAAAAGGAATCACAAACCTAAAGGTAAAATGCAAAAATTATAGGATTCCTACAATGTAACAGGGCAAAAAAATCTAGGTGGCCTTGAATATAGCCATGATTCTTTAAAGATATCACATCAAAGGCATAATCCATGAAGAAATTGATAAGCTGAATTTCCTTAAAATGAAAACTTCTCTATCATAGTCACTGTCAAGATAATAAGAAGAGAAGCCAAAGACTGGGAGGAAATATTACAAAAGGCATATATGGTAAAGGGCTGTTGTCCAAAATATACAAAAACTTTTAAAACTCAAGAAAAACTAACAGCCTGATTTGAAAAATGGGAAAAGACCCAAACAGATACTTCACCAAAGAACATAAATGTATGGCAAGTGGATGTTTGAAAAGATGTTCAACATCATATATGTCACGGGGTAACTAGAAGTTAAAACAATCGAGACATCACTACTCACCTATTAGAATGACCAAAACCCAGAACACTGACAACAACAAATGCCAACGAGGATGTGGAGCAACCAGAACTCTCACTTATTGCTAATGGGAAGCTACTTTGCAAGATAAGTAGTAGATTGTTATAAAACTAAACATATTCTTACTGTGTGAGCCAGTGGATATGGTTTTTCATATTTACCCACAGTGGTTGAAAACTTACACCACACAAAAATCTGCACATGGAATTTTATAGCTGAGAGGGAGTTTGCATGCCCTTTCGGGTGTCCCTTCCCAATTAGGCCACTCACGCACCGAGAGGTCCGGCAGGAGATCTTTATTGTAGGGAGGCGAGCAGGAGGCAGAAAGGCAGAGAAAGAGAGAGAGAGGAGGAAGAAGAAGCAGAAGGAGAGAGAAGAACAAAGAAAGGAAGGTCCTTTTATCACTTTTGGGGTGGGCTATTGCTTATTTATGAGGAGTGAGCTACTTTTAACCTATCACAGGCCAGATTGCTTTTATGGGCCCAGTCCTGCAGACACAGGTTTCAACTTTCCTGGACCACTGTGGCCTTGGAGGGGAGGAAAATCAGAGACAAGGGCATGAGGTCATTTTAGGAGCCAAGATGTACCAGGAGAATGCAGCCTGTGAGGCGGCGTCACAGCATACTTTAACATGATCAATTCCCTAACAATAGCAGCTTTATAACTGCCAAAATTTGGAAGCAGACAAGATGTCCTTTAAGTAGTGAATGAATAAACTGAAGTACATCCAGACAATGAATTCCATGCCACAAAGAAATGATCTAACAGGCTACAGAAAGACATGGAAGAACATGTAAAAGTAAAAGTTAGCAATCTGGAAAAAGTACGTATGTGTTACCCAATTATAAAACATTTTGAAAAGGTAAAATCTTGGAGACAATAATAGAATCAGTGCTTGGCAGGGATTGGGAGAAAGATGGGATGAGTCGGTGGGGAGAATGAAAATACCCCTTTATATTACTGTATAATAAGGGGCATATGTCATTGTATGTATGTTTAAACTCAGAATGTAAACACCAAGAGTGAACTTGGAGCGATCATTGTGTTTTAATGCGGGCTCGTCAGTAGTGGTAAATGCACTGCTCTGGGGAGGTGTGGATTGCATAGAGGCTCTGTGTGAGTGGCGACAAGGGGATGTGTAGGCACTCTCTGTACCTTCCTCTCAATTCTGCTGTGAACCTGCAACTGCTTTAAAAAAACAAAATTGAAAACAGTGCTAGAAGCACTACTTGGTTTAATATGGTACCACACAGCACCCCAAACTGAACCTCTATTCTTATCTCACATACCAAATTAACTCAAACTATTAAATTGCTAAAGAGCATATAGAAGAAAGTCTTTGTAACTTTGGAATAGACAAAGATTTCTTCTAACTGTAACAGGAAAATATTAACAGCAGACTATCGAAATTTTAAAATTGAGGCTTTGAATTAGAGCAATAAAAACTAAAAGTCAGGACATGGATTGGGAGCAAATATTTATAATACATATACCTGAGAAGAAACTAGTATTCAAAATATACAAATAAGTTGTTTAATTAGGCAACCAATTTTAAAACAGAAGCTCTGAATATGAGCACAAAAGAAGATAGACATCTTAAGTGCAGTTTTAACTGAAGAATTCTTAACATCAGTAATCATTAGAGAAATACAGACTAATAACAATGAGAAGGAAATGCACATAAAGAGATCCCACTTGACACCTACAAGAATGCCTACAATTGAAAAGGTTCCCAATATCAAGCAGGTGATGAGAAGTGCTCTTCAGAATGCTGCTGGAAGTGCAGAAAAAAAGGTGGGGGAAAGACAGGAAAGGAGGAAGGAAAGAGCACTTTGGCAGTGTCTTCTGAAGATAAGTATGCACTTACTCTGTGATCAAGCAGCTCTACACGTAGGCTTTTACTGAAGAGAATTAAAATATACCCCCGCACAGACATGCACATGGACACTCATAGCAGCTTGTTTATAATAATCAAAAACTGGAAAAATATAAATGTCTATCGGTGAACATTATAGATAAACAATATCAGAAATAAAAAGGAATAAAGTACAGCTATGCTCAGTGTGGATGAGTCTTAAGGAATCATGCTGATCATATGAAAGCAGCCAGACAAAAAAGTATTCAAGGCTTCCATTCATGTAAAATTGTAGAAAATGCAAGCTAATCTACAGTGATTGAGGGCAAATCAGTTGTTTAGAGAGGGAGAAAGTGGGAGAAAGGGGGGATTGCAGTGGACATGAGGTGATGCTGGGTTGTGATGGGTGTGTTCACATCTTACTTTGGCAGTGGTTTCATGGGGCTGTGTAGATTCCTAAACCTTAACTTTGTGCCGTTATTGTATGTAATTATGCCTTCATAAAATCGAGTTAAAAAGTGAAAAAATCAGCTACACTAGCCCTTTCCTCTCTTAGCCTCATTCCCAGTTTGTTCTGTATGTCTGTTCCTTCAGATGATTCATTCCGAACTCGAAGTGCCAGCAGTGCTCCAGCCTCCTTTTCTCTCAATTCCTCCATACCCAGTACCTCCCGTGGGACAGTTAACCCAACAGATCCAGACAACAGCGGAAGTAAAGACTCACAACCCCGGAAGGCCACCTTGTGAGTCACTGAGTGGTAACTACACAGAGTGTTTGTCCTCCTCTTTCCTGAGTGCACTTGCCCTCCCATGTACATACTTTCCAAGGACTAGAACATGTTTCTGATAAGCCCAAGGGGATTTTATCGCATGAGATTTTGTTAGGCTAGAGAGTATAAGATGTTTTATATGTCTACGGCAAATTACTGAAACCTTAGGGAATCAACAAAAAAGCATTTAATAAATTGCTTCAGCTAATATCTTGAGATTTTCCCCCTATGGAATGTTTGCACTCCTTGATCTCTAAGACACTGGGATAGTTACAACCCTTTGAACACCTAGCTATAATATCTCATTGCTGCATGCTCAGAAAGAGGGGTGTGGCGGATGTTACTTAATGAAAGCTCACTGCATCACAGAACCCAGAATTGTGGGCTCAGTAAACTGGACACGTAAACTGTACCTGTGCCTTAAAGTTGAAGTTCTGTCTTCCTTTTCACCACAGTTCCTTTTTATATGCAAGTTGGATGTTGTTTGAATGGCCAAAATCTTTATTTCTTTTAGCTTAAACATTAAAGAGGGTAGTATCATGGAAACTAAGGAAGAGACCATACCAAGGTGTAAATGATTCAGCCAGGATACTCAAACTGCAGTTATAGGCTTGTACTTTCACTCGAACACCTGAGCCTTCTGATTAGAACAGAATTTAAGTAAAATTCAGATTTCATTCCAAATACGTTTCACTAAATTCAGAAACATTTTCCAGTAAAGTTTCTCAATTGCATCTTTTTCTGCAGAAACTTCATGTTGGAGGCCCTATAAGGAGTGGAGCGATATATTATAATCAATTCTAAATTGTAACTGTCCATTAGGTGTATAAAACTACAGATGCGTATACCTAACTTCCTTCAAAAGTTAGAAATAAATTTATTGAATGGGGCTGCAGGAAAGAGCAGATGTATATACTACAAAGAAGAAATAATAGCAGGAAAAAATAATGATATTACAGATGAGTAGTGTCAGTATGGGATCGCTTTACTGCAGAGAATGCTGGTTCCCAGGGTAGTTAATGCCCTGGTGATTACACTGGAGGTTTCATTCCGGAGTCACTGGTGGAGAGGTGGGGCACGGTGACTTTCTGTAGAGCCCAGCTGGAGCCACATCTGCCCCAGCTGCTGAGCGTGGGGCACAGCCCTGCCCTGCTCGGCCTCCCCACCTGCTCTGTGAAATGCAGGGCTGACTCGTGGTCTTCTCAGGGACCTTTCAGTCCGGCAGCCCGAGATCCCGCCTCTAGCGACTCCAGGCTGCCACTCTGGGAGAGCTGCCCTGACCACTCTCGTGGAGCAGCCACGCAGCCACATCGCGGGTGTTGATGTTCTCTTCACTTACTCCTCCATGGGTTATGGCAGCTTTTAAAAACCACTGAGGCCTAATATACTCAGGACAGCTCTCCTTTATTCAGATTCCTTCATTGGTTCTTTCCTTGTTGTGTGTGTTCTTCCCTTGTGTAGACTGAATTTTCTCTTATGTGAGTGCTGGTTACAAAAACCTGCTATCCACAGTGCTTTCCTCCTGTGTGGGCTGGGCAGGGCCTGCTTCCCCCTGAGCCCCTGGCTCCAGGAGCTCCAACCACAGCTGAGTTGGGTGCTGACTGATTCCTAAATTTTTTTTGGGGGGGGGTTGTATCTGTTTTGTTGTGTTTTGTTTTTACAAGAAGTATTGTCCACAATTCAGAGCTATGCCTTACCCAAATGAAAATGTCATTTTTATTTAAAATATGCCTATGAAGCGATGTAGAAAGAATTATTTCAATTTTTGCTTCCGAAAAAAATGACATGTAATTCACTCCCCAACATTACAGAATGACACATCTGGTAATTAGAAGAAGCTGTGACTGAAAAGAAGGGGGGTATACACTGTCTTACATTTACAAGGCCCTGAAATTGATATATTTAGGCCTGTATAATTTCCATTATGGTTATACGATGTTTACAGTGCAGTAAAATATGAATTAAACTGTGTGTTAGGTGCACATGTGATTTTTTTTTTTGATAGTTAATGGTAATTCGGAGTAACTTTTTTTGGGGGGGGGTACCGGGGATCGACCAGGACCTTGCACTTGTGAAGCAGGTACAGGGTCACTGAGCTAAATCCCCAGCCCCGACCATGCGTAATTTTTAATGTGCGCTTTTTTCTCTTAGAATTTTATTAGGTTTATTCAAAGTAGCTTATCTGTGTCTTTATCTACTTTGTGAGCATTATATGGATAAAATGGCTCATGTCTTTTTCTCTTCCCCACCCTCTTCCTTCAGGAAATCCAGAAAATCCAACCCTTAAATCAACTGTTGAAGGAGACAAAGCAAAGACACCGGGATGAACGTGGCTGGTGGACGAAAACTAAAGCGGTGGCTGGGCTTTATTTCTTTTTTTTTTAATTTTTGTTTGTTTTAATGAATGGAGAAAGAGACACAATGGCAACTTATGTTAAACTTGACCATATTTGAAATTAAATTCCCTAAGAGGTATAGTATATATTTCTTACATCATAATGTGGTTACGGAATTCCAGTGTTACAGTGCATTGTAATGAAAACAAGTTCAGTTGTGTGCTTTAACTATGGCTGCAAAACCAACAAGCCTGGTTTTACTTGCCCAGGAAGCCAGTGGTTTCACCGTGTTTAGCAATTGTGTGACAGTCCACAAGGGTTGAAACTGTCCTTGTGGGGCTCCACAGGAGCAGGGATTTGTGGGGTAAGGAAGAGACCACCTAGCTCTCCACACCTAGCTGCAGAGTCAAACTGAGCACCTGTCACAGTTTTGTGAGCCCTGTGAGGGCACAGGATGTCCTCCGTGGACATTCCCAAATTTAGATTTGACGATTAAAATTCTGCCAGGATGTCTGATAACTTTGAGCTGCACATACCTTAAAAATTATAGGTGGATGATTTTCTTTATTTCCTAGAAGAATTTCTTTTATAAATACTTTGTTTACATTTTAGAATGTACTTGTCTTAATTTAAAATGATGAATCTAGTTTGAATCAGCTGTTATTCCAAGCTATCATGCTTCAGCTGTGTCAACAGCATTTATTTGTACCAATGCTAAGATTTCCATCAAAATTTGCCTGTGGAACATACACAGTTCTTAATTTTAAAATGTCAGTTCTTAAGATATACTGTATGAAGCTATTGTCAGCTTCTCTGTTTCCAAATGCAATCAGCATATAATTATGTTGATATTAGAAAATATTTGTTTTTTTAAATATATTGATGTATGATAAAGATGATCTAATTTGTGAATGCTTATGCGTGTGTGGTTACTTTTTATAATGTGAAATGGATAATGAATTTACTCAAAATAAACATAGGTTAATGAGATGCCTGTATTTGTGAAAAAAAGTTTTAAATACTTTTCTCAAATTTTAATTCTTTAATTAAAGAGCAAGACGGCTCATTCTTAAGTAATGAATAAGAGAAGCACAGTGATCTCAACTATAAACTACTCAGGGGATGATTACTTGGTAAAAGACTTCTTCAGGTCATCAGTTTCCCCTTTTCTTTCCACCTGGCCTCTTTCGGGCAGTGCGTGTACAGTGATTCATAATATCCTGACTGAGAGGACAATCAGGTAAATAGAATTGTTCGACTACTCATTTTAACAGTAGTTAAAAATCCAGTAGATATGAGAAACTTGCCATTTCTGGTTAAAGAAATTCAGCATAGTTTCTGTGTATTTCACTTAGCAATTTTTATTGCTGTCATCTTCTACCAGTCTCAATAATATGGACTTGACTGCATTGTGTTCTGGAGAATGTGTGGTGTGCAGTGGGACAGCAAAGCCCATCTGTTGTTCCATAGTCAGCACCGGCTCTTATTTTAAATAAAATGGAGAATTTCAATTTAATTGTTAAAATACGTACCAAAGTTATAAGTTTTTGTTTTCCCATTATGAATATGAGAAAAGGAAAGTTGTGTGAAAGGAAAAACACTACTAGTAGAGTTAAGAAATATAGAGAGAAGTCAGTTGCATTCTTACAGCTAGTCATTAAATTCTTAGTTCAACAGTTAATCAGATTACTTTTGGACAAGTTGATTTTTTTTCTCACAAACATAACCTCTAAAATTTTTGAAATGTTTGTTAAAATGATATTTCCAAGGACAGATATCAGCAATCAAAAATGGTGACAGTTATGACTATCCTCATGTACCCCAGAAACAAGACTGATATTCTTCTGAGAATTCTGTTTAACAGCCTCTCGTGTAGATTCTTGTCGATTCATGTCGGTAACTAGAGGCAGACAAGGCCATCTGAGGCTGAAAAGAACTGACCTTTCCATGACCAAGCGTGACTGTGTTCATTTCAGAGCATTGTGTTCTCATAGACCAGTGATGGCGAACCTTTTAGAGCTTTCAATGATACAAACAGCCCACTGCAGCACACACGCCATAGGTTTACCACCACTATTGTAGATTTTTCTTTTCTAGATTGCATCTGTTAGAAGTGAGAACAGTGCTGGAACCCTGTTCTTCTCTCTACATTTCCCACAGACAAATCTGGTTGACTGGACCTAGGTCATATAGGATGCCAGTTTAAGTTAGTCTTCTTCCATTGTTTCTCTCTCTCTAGGCTCTAGAATTTCCTGCCTGTCAAAAATGTCAATTAGTACTCTGGGATGGACTACAGGAATGAATTCATGCCCACATATGGGGATGGTGAAGTCAGTGTTTAGGCTGCCTGTTAGTATTACCACCTATTCCCATTGCTTTGATTTTAGTAATCGAGGCAATAAGTACGTTTTAGCATAAGTATATCTAAGCACTAGCACAGATAGAAATCCAATTATGCATTTAGTGAACACAGCTGACAGTCTAAGATTTGTAAACTTTATTTAGGATTCTCTGGCTTGACCGTCCTAAAGTGGTGCCTTGTTTCCATGCCAGAAAATGGCTGACACAGCCCCACAGGCATTGCTGTTCTCCTTTTGCCCTTGGGTTGGAGTCCATGCTTATATTCTGTTTAACCATGGTGGACAGCTCTGAAATAAACACTGTGGAGCAGGATCCCAGCACATTTTCCAGGGCGGGAAGGAAGATGAACAGGGTGTGGGGGTTAGACACGGAGGCCAGACCTCTGGTGCACCGGGGCCGCACTGGGAGACCTTGGTCTTCCTTCCACTGAGATAGAGGTTTGATTTATCCATCAGGTGAAGTAGGCACGGTGCCTGAGGCAGTCATGGTGAAACTTTTGGAGACTGAGTGCCCAGACTGCACCTCAAAACCCACTTACTTATCGCAAAGTGCCAACCCTGTAACTACATCTGAATACTGAGGTTTTTAGTTTAGGAAAAACAGATGTTACCTGAGGCACGGCCGCTGGGGTAAATTGGCTCACATATCCACAGAGAGGCTCTGCCTGCCCGCTGCAGCACGCGTGCCATAGCTTTGTCATCCCTGGCCTAAGGTCACCACGCCTCTAAGGGCTGAGGAAGAGGTTTTATTTCTAGCAGAAAGCAAGACACATAGTTTGCATTGTTAGAAGGGTGAATAACCCAGAATATATTCGTCCTGACACCAATGAAGTTATGTATGAATAATGTAAATAGTATAAATGTATATATAAATACTACAAATCGTATATGTGCTAAATCTATATACACACACGTGTGTGTGTGTGTGTGTGTGTGTGTGTGTGTGTATGCCTAGTGCCTTCGAAAGTCACAGTGTGATCCAATTTCTGGGCCTCTTATTCTTTTCTTTGTAAAATGAAAGCATTTAACTGGATGATCTTTGGTGAAGCACAGAGTCAAATAAACATCATTGAGTTAGACACTGATCAGCACTGGTTATGGCAGTTTTCTCTAACTTTGGTCAGCACGGAATATTCTGTAACAGACTGAAGTGAAATGCTTACTTTCCATCACAGAGAAGTGGACAGAGAAGCATGGCTCAAGGAGGTTGCTTGCCCTACCCTCAAAGGCTTCCTTGTGGAATTGGGTGCCAGTCTACTATGTGTCGAGTACAGATGTGTGAGCGAGATATGAGAGAGGAGAGGTCCTCCACCTAGGTAGGCTTCCGGCACTTAACTAAGGCTCTTAGGACCAGGTTTAAATGCCAGACAGATTGCACAGACATCTCCTGTAAATGAGTGTCAGTTTAATATGTGTGTTAATTTGAGAACAGCCCATAGCAGCTAAGGACAGCAGGGATGTGCCTTTCCTCGGCCACCTGGCAGGATGACCCATGTGGGTGCAGACGCCTCCACCTCAGCCAGCACCTGATGTCACACTGAGTGCTCTTGCATGTCCTGAGTCACAGGACAGTCGGGTTGACCACCCTGCCCAGAAACAGGAGCATCCTGGAGGTTTCCTCATAGATCATGAAGTGAAATGGCCGGTCTACTCTGATGACGGGAGGCATGGAGTAAGCAATCATTTCTGACAGGGTTCCCGCCACTGCCTCTGTTCCTTTTTCATCAACTTCGATCACTGATTGTTGTAAAACCTAGGAGAGGGAATAATTGGAAGACCGTGTGTGTGGTGGTAGGGATTGAGAAGTTAATCAAGCCCTTGAAATGCTCCCCATCTGGCCATGCTCCTGGGGTTTAGTGGTGCAGGGCCCATCTGTGTGAGGAGTCATGGTTGCTCCAGCGGGTGTGAGAATGTGAAACCACCTAGGAGACCTTAGGAACACAGTGTGAAGTGTGGAATATGTGAAATGCATTCTGCACTTGGGGACACAAACACTCTGGCAGGACATTTATGCATAAAAGTACAGTGGGCCTCAAGTTATGACTGGTCTGACATACAAACAACATGAATTATGACTGGAATTTTAGTTTTAAGTTACGACCCAAATTCCAGCTGCTTGTGCTTCCACATGGTCTCAGATATAGATTTAACCCTGAAAGAGCTCTGGAAGGAACGTCACCACATCCTTTCCTGTGAGTGGTTAACTGAGAAATCCTGGTCCAGTGTCTCTCTGAGGACCCTGAGATCTGCCTGAGTACAGGAGAAAGGCTTTGAAGGCTGTGTAGAGGAGCCTGGGCCTTAAATTGACCAATTGAGTTACAACCAGCCCTCGAGAACAAATTGAGTTCATAAGTCAAGAGTCCACTACATCTAATATTTATTGAACATGTACATGTACTACTAATTTCTAATCTGAGCTCCTGTTTTGAGCTTCTGAGGTTGCCTGAGTCCTTTGACCTTTATTTTGGCAGGTAGGGTGAGGGCAGGGCATGGTTAATCTTGTGGGGCAGCTCCCCAGAACCTGGTGCTGCTCTGAGGCATTGATTACAGCAAGCCACAGGGCCCCTGAAATCTTCCTGAACCCTGGTTACCCATACTCAGGTTGCTTGCCTGTTCTGGGGGTCCTATGTCCAGGAACCTAGTGTCATGTGAATGATAAACCTTTATAATTATTGTAAGAGGAGATCATGAAAACATCACCATAATGACACCTAGAAATTTTCCGATTTTCTGGGATTAAAAATGTGTTCCTCAGAGCAAATACAGGAAGAAGATTTAGTGGTTTATAATTGAAAGCTCATGATGATGCTTTTTAAAACCACAGTACATTTCTTAGTTTTCCTTATTTTCACAGTAGAGACTCAGGAGTGGGTCTGCAGGACTGTAGTTTATCTAGCCTTCCCTGAGATGGGAAGGCCTGGAGCCAGGCCCTGGTTAACCTCCTGGCTCCTGCTCAAGGGGACATCACTTTGAATCTCTCTTGGAACTGAAAATTCCAGCTGCATGGGAAAGTAGACACTGCATCTCATGGCCATGGAAGGACGTGGTGAGGTGTGGCTGCCATGTGGAGGTGTGGAACTGTTTGCTTGGACTGGAGGGAGGGCAGAGGGGAGTTACTGCTGCTGGCCATGGTGAACACAGGCCATGAAGGACAGCTAGTTCCTTCAGTCCCGAGCTGCTGAGAGAACAGGGGCTTCCCTCTGAACCAAGAGAGCGTCTTTTGAGAAATACTGATTAGCTGGGGGAACTCACTGGAGAAGCTGACTGAACTTGTTCTTAGTAGTTTTTCAGATAGAACAAAAAGGGACCAAAAAGCATGAGTTAGGGAGAAGTTATAGGTCAAGATTTTTTGTTTTAAATTGGACATTTGTGGATGGGGCTGCTTCTCAAAGAAGGGAGGAATTCCTGTCACTTAACGCATGGAAAAGAGAGACTGGGTGCTCTTCTCAATTCTTGAGATCTCACAGTGTGAGTCTACAGGGGTAACTGGAGAGAGGATGTCAGCAAGAGGTAGGAGGGGAGGCCACATGGTTTCTGGGGATTTCTTTCATGAGCTTTTGCAGTGTAACATGATGATGAGGCTGTAAACCACGCCCAATTCCAGGATAGATTTCTCTTTGAGCATTAGGAAAAGGCTCTGCCCAAGAGTAATCAGTTGAAAAGGTGTTTTAATAATGTGACTTGAAATATTTAAAACACCCAACCTGGGTGCTGTTGCAAGACTTTGAAATTTAAATCTATTTCTCTAGGCATTTTATTAAAATTAGATGGTGGCACTTCCTGCCTAGGATTGGGCACTGGTGAAGACCCAACTTGCCTTGGACACCTGCAGATTTCTTGGAGCAGCTGATAGTCCACTGAGGTCAGCCAAGGGCGAGAAGATTCTTCTGACTCCCATCTGCCTGAGCAGTTCGTGCATCTCATACTTCTGGTCCAGCTTGAACTTGGGAAAGAAAACCTCCATTTTCCTGTGGTACAAACACAGATAATGATGTGATGTGGTCAAAGCCACTGTGTATGAACACCAAAAGGACACATTTTCTTTTCCTTTTGTTTTCCTCCAAGGTTATTTTAGCAAGTCTCCCCCAGTTGACTGTGTCTCACTCACACCTTTCTTTTGTAATGGTCTATCTCAGAGAAAATACATCTGGCTTATCAGATATCATTGCCAGCTTATTTCCCAGCTGATGACTCACCTTTTTAGTCAGGCATGCCATACTTGTCCATTTCTCTATGTTTTAAAAACAACACATACCAACCCAGTAGCTGCTGCCTGCATCCTGCAGGCACCTGGGCTTGGGGGGTGGGTGCTGTTCTCAACTCTGAGATCCCACAGAGTCCCAGTGTCCCAGGATAAAGCCTAAGAGTCTGGGTATGGATGGGCAACAGGGATAAAAGGGACCATTCAACAGGCTTTTCTACCCAGAGTAGCTGTCTTCTGTATTGGAGTCCTCTTTTGAAAATATGATTGGAAAGATGAGTCTCAAAAATTAAAAAAAAAACTATGAAAATGAATTGATACTAAATCTTACAGAAGTCCTAATTTCTTAGCCTATGAAGTATAGCAAAAAATACCGGTACTGATTTTGTAGGGTGGTTCAGAAGAATGATGCATGCTGAGCACCCAGCACTGTGTCTGGTGTGTCCAAGTCCTCAAGGAAGATGAATTACTACTCCCTCATGGTGTCTCTCCATTTTCTCCCTGTCACATAGTTGGGCCAGGCTGTCTGCCTGGAATATGACTGAGGGCATCACATGCCCCGAAGATCAATTTATAAATTAATACAGCTAACTTTTATTGAGAGCTGTTTATGTTTGAGCTCCATTACTAGGCTGAAGATTTCAAGTAAAATGAGAGAAGAATAGGAAGATAAAACTGACAACAGGGGCCCCTAGCTGAACTCAACTCTGTGCTGAATTCTGGGCTGACAGGATTCAGGAGGCACAGCTGTGGGTGGGTTCTGGTCGCAGTTGTCTTCTTCCTTGTACTCCAACAGTTGGGCTGATTTCTCAGAGAACCATGTGAGTATCCACTCCGTGCTTCCCACTCTGTGCAGAACCCCTGCCCAAGCAATCCCACCCCAGATGTATGGCCCCAACCTGGCCTTGCCTTGGCCTCCAATCCAACTGCCTGCCTTCTTGCCATCTCCACTTGGATGTCTGATAGCTGTTCTGATCCAAATGCTCAGACTGAGCTCTTGAATTTCCCCCGACACCTGATTCTCTAGCATTCTTCCCATTCTAGTAAATGAAACATCTGCTCCCAAAGCTGTGCAATCACCTCTGACTAATGGCTTTGTTTCTGTCTTTATCTCTGTGTGTATTTGTGCACATCTTGCCCCCTCGCCGTCCCTCTTTCTTTCTCAGCCTCTCTCTTTCTCCCCACATCCCTCAAAATTCTGTCAACTCTCACTTCCTTGTCATTCAGAATCCCGCCTCCACTGTCACCATCATAGTCCCAGCCTCAGACCGGCTGTCTGGCCCCTCACAGTAGCCTCCCACACAACTGTACTAACAGTCATGGCCTCCTTGTCCCCTAGTGTCTTTCCTCGACCCAGGAACTTGTGCTATCCTTTCATCGGATCATGTTTCACTTCTGCTTGGAACCCTCCCCGTGGCTTCTCATCTCCTTGGGCAAAGCTCGCCTATTCTGGGGCTTGAGAGGGGAGACTGTGAGAGGCTGGGCCCCTGCCCCTCTCTGACTCATCTCCATACACTATGGCCACGCTGGCCACCTTGCCGTCCTCAGACCCCCAGGCACCCTCCATCCCAGAACTTACCATCTCTGATTCCCAGGGATGTGCACGCAGTTCTGACATTCGCTTCCTGTCACCTTGTTAGTGAGGCCTTCCCTGACTTGCCTGACCCTGCTGACACTCCTGTCTCTTCTGGGTTACTGCTAGTCTCCTTTCATCACACTGTACTTTCCAGAAGGGCAGGGACTTGGCTGTTTGACTCACAGATGCACCCAGCATTGTGTAGGTGTCATGGCAGGGGGTCTGGATGAGTACTCGCAGAGTGAACCCATGAGCCAGGCATGAACCCATGAGCCAGGTGGAAGATTTGAGTAGAAAACACCACACGCTGTTCCTGCCCCAGGGGAGCTGAGTGCTTTCTGGGGAGGTGGGCACTGGGGCATGGTGCACTGGCTGAGTGGGAGGAGCCTGTGCAGGCATGGGCACAGTGTGGGTCAGTTATACCTGGTTTTCATGTTTCTGAGCCACGTCTCTACCAGGTCTGTGGTCAGGTAGTCTTCCAGGTCCAGGTGATCTCCCATTTTCTCCATGAGCACCACCAGCATGGTGGCGTTTCCTCGGTAGGGCAGTTGGAGAACGTGACAATGAAAATTTCTATCAAAGGTGGAGGCAAACTTTCCCTCCCTGTACATCATGGGCACCTTCACTGCCCTGTACTTGTCCAAGTGGAAAGTGTCAGCTTCGGTGAGGACAGGGTCGAAGGGAGTCAGCCACTTCCCTGAACGAGAAAGAAGATCTCAGGCGGAAGGCAGCCCCTCCAGTCACAAAGCAGAGAGGGTTCAAACTCCCTTCACCCCAACCAGGAAAGTGTTCCCTCACTGAGTTAGCTTGGATTATAGCTCAGGTAGGTGGGACACATTTCCCAAAGATCAGATTTTCCCAGGGGGAAATCCAGGTCCACCCACCAGCCCTGTGGAATCACAAGGAAGAAAGGAGAGGCTCTTCCCAACCTCTGCTCTCTGAATAAAACTCTTTCTCCCTGGTGGAGGCTCCGGTCTAGAGAAGACTTGAGGCCTCTGCCTGGCCTTATCTGCATGAGGGGCCTCTGGACTCCACCTCATGCAACATACACCCACACAAGAGAACTGTGTGTGACACTGAGTGACAGTGTCTCTGCCCCCGCCCACCCACTGCCTTGCGGGGCTCTGACAGCAGGGCCCCCACAGTGCAGGAGGGACACAGCGTGTCCTCCCTTCAAGGCTGTGGGCTGGTGACTGCAAGGTCGTTTCCGGTCGTGGGGCTCCGAGGGCCTCCCGGTGCCAGCTCTCTGCCCCAGTGAGATCTGTACCATGTCCTGTATCTGGGCTCAGGGTGCCAGGAGACCTTGTTTGTGTCTGGCCTCTGCCATTGATTGTTTGACCCTATCAAGCTAACCTCTCCCACCACCACATTTATCCCTTTTAGGAAGGAGACATTGGTCCCTGCTCTAAACCTGCTGCATCGGCAGTCAGGAAGGCCAAGTGTTGTGTGTGTGCAAAGTCTCAGATGTGCCAAGCACAACCGGGCACTTTGCGCTCATTATCTTACCTAGATGCAGAGCTGCAGGTGGGACTTTCCCTATTTCCTAGATTAAGAATCCAAGGACAGATTCTGTCATCTGCCCCAGGTCACAGAAGCAGAGCATGCAGGAGTGAAGAAGCCCTCCTAACTCTCAGACAAAATGCTCCATTTGGGAATTGTCCTATGCGCTGTTTCCCAAGGATAGAGGGAGCCTCACAGAGGTGCTGCGACACCTGTGAGAACCACAGGCTTTGGCATTAGTAGGGCAGGGCCTCAAATGACCATCTGGCCCCACTCAGCAGTTGTGGAACCTAAGAACACGATCACAGAAAATCCTGTGGCACAATCACGCACGGACCAGAGGAGGGGAAGAGAGAGACAGTGACAGGACCCTTCAGCTTTGGGAGAGCAGAACACCATCAAAGTACCTTTGAATAAGATGTAATCCACAAGAATTAATTTGGTTTCAGGATTAATCTCATCAAAGAGCTTGGGAATTTTCCCCCGAGTCTCTTTGTTAATGTAATAATTCATGAGCCCTCTGGCCTGCGAGGCATTGCGAAAATTTGTAGGCACGAACTCTGTATCGAAATACCTCTTGGATAAATTGCGGAAGGTCTCCTTGACTTCGAAATCCTTGTGAATGAAGGCAAAGCTCCCTTGGGCAAGGCCCAACTCAGGGCTCCTGGAGAAAGTCTCTCGGAGCTGCTTGAAGAGGGCGGGCAGGAGCAGAGGCTGTGTCTCGCTTGGTGCCTGCAGCCAGAGTCTGTGCTCCACCTGGGCTCTGGTCTGCCCTTTGGCCCCCAGCATCAAGCCTGCCATGACCAAGGACACACCAAGTGGAGAGAAGACCACGTTGCCATCGTGCTGCATGGAGATCTTTCGCAGCAGGCTGAACCCAAAGTTTGAAGTCTCGTTGGAGAGCGGCTGCATATGGGCCCTCAGCCAGGCCTCCCCCTTCTCTTCCTCCTCCTCCTCCTCTTCATAAGGGGGACCCTGCATGTGCTCCCAGGTCTGGTTCTGAGGATCCTTGGGCTCCAGAGTCTCCATCCCTGCCTGGGACTCTGAGGAATGGGGACCGAGGGCCCAGCTGGGCACCAGCAGCTCCACCAGCAGGACAGGGAGCAGGAGGCCTAGCACCACCCTCATGTGGCCAGCTGTGGAGGCCAAGGATCCCTCCCTTCAGCAGCAAGACTTCCTGTGCAGGAGAGAGGACAAGACTGTCAATGCCTTATAAATCATCTCTATGTGATGGCACATATCATTCCCATGTCTCACCTCTCCTGTGGGCACAGCCATCTTGTGATTTCAGCCTTGGCCCAAGGGCATGTGGGGACAAGAGGGGCACACTGGCTAACCCCAGGAGGGGACAACCCTTCACAGTTCCCATCTCTGCCAGGCCCCTGGGCAGCTCATGGGCTCTGTCTGACTCCTTTTCCTATACATTCTGCTTCCTCCCAAAAGTACAGGGCAGATCCCCCTCTCTGTGGACAGCAGGCAGGGAAGAGGGTGGGGAAGGGCAGGCATCCTGGTCTCTTCAGGCATTGCCTTTGATGATTTGGGCACGAGGCAGCCTCTCCAAGCTGGGCCATAGGACCCTGGTGTGTGACACATGGGGCTGGGGATTTAAACACCCCTGCAGACAATCAGGCAATGAAAGGGGAAAGTTTCCCCAGCCCCCAATTTGCTGATGAGAACCCACCTCCCATGCACCTCTCCTGTGTACTCCCCCAGGCCCTCCTTCCATTCTTTGCCATCACCTGGGAGCTGCTGGCTTTGCTGCCTAAGCTTCCCACCTGACAGTGACTCTCCAGCCACGTCCTCACTTCCAGCTGTCCCCAACGCTCCACCTTTCCCGTCTGTTTGCACATCCTCAGGCACTAGCCTGGCTCCTGCACCATGCCATTTGCTGTGTTCACACATATTCACACTCGTTCCTGGTTTCAACCACAGCTCTGCATCCCAGAGGCTGGCTGGAAGCCCCAGCTCACTCTCTTCTGGACCATGCTCACTCTTCTCCCCCAGGCTCTCTCTCTTCTGGACCCCAGGCAGGCCAGGGTGGGATGGGACACCCAGGAGAGTGGGTGTGTGGGATACCACAGGCCTCCTGGTAGTTCCCATCCCAGAGACCTCACTCTGACTAGGGACTGGAGGCAAAGCTGTTGACAAAGACAGGCTCCTGCACTTCTCCTTGCTGCAGGGGAATGACTGATGACTGAGTTCTCTTCTGGGCCTGGTACAAAGCCACACCCAGCTCCAGCTCAGGGCACTGCTCCTTGCTTTGCCAGTGGTGCCACAGAGCTCAGAGCTCTGTCCTTGAAGCCTGAATGGTGCTCCCTTACTCAGTAGAGCACTTCTGCTGCATTCTTCCAAAATCTCTGCTTAAGAAATATCTTCCCTCCCTGCACGACAACCCTACACCCACTAGGCTGCTACCAGTGTTGTGTAAGCACCCCCACCTATTACGGTTGCTATAGAATAAATGTCTCTGTTCCTCTGAAATTCTTATACTAAAGACCCCCAACCACTGTCTACATCACTGGGACAAAATACCTGACACCTGCCCGTTAAAAGAGAGGTTAATTTCAGCTCCTATTTTTAGTCCGTAGTTGGCCAAGCCAGGAGGGCTTAGTGGAAGGGTTTGGGCAAAGTAAAGCTGCTCACGGTATAGCAGCCAGGAAGTTAGAGGGGAGAGACACCTCCCCCTTCTAGAAGCCCCACCCGTGAGTGTATGATCTCTTGGGAGACAGCCCAGATCAGAACAGCAAAGCCCTGCTCCCCAAAATGCTGGTGGTAGCAGGTGAGGCCTTCGGGAAGTAATTAGGTGTAGATGAGGTTGAGATGAGCCTTTTCTCTCTCTCTTTCTACAAAGGGCACAGGAAGATGGCAGCCATCTGCAAACTAGGGCGTCAGCCCTCAGCGTAGCCCAACCCTCCTGGCCCTAGACTTCTGGCCTCCAGAACCTTGAGGAGTGTATCAGTTGTTCCAGTCCCCCAGGAACTCTGAGCTAAGAAAATTAAGTTGTAATATTTACCTCTACTTTGTAAATCAAGCCATTGGCACAAACTCCTGAATTAAGAATGACATCTCTCTGTCCTCTGGAAATTGTTCTGGCACAAGAGCTAGATGTCACCCCTTCCAGAAGCTAAGACTCACTTCACTGTTCCTGAAGTGCCCGGTTCAGTCCCTGTCCTGCCTGAGTGGTGCGGCTCTGGCCCCCTGGCTTTGTTCATGCCTGGAGCAGAGCAGGATCCACATGCAGGGCTGTTCCTTGGCCTAAGGCACTAGCAAGTTGAGAGATCACACCTTCCGGTATAGATATGAGCCGTAAGAACCCACCACAGCGCCCCTGAGCCTGGCCCTTCCTCTCCGAGCTTGGGCGGGGGTGGGCTGCCTGCCCGGGCAGTGAGTTGTGATGGATGAGACACTGTGGCTTCTGAGCCCCTTTGCCTGGCCTGCTTTCTGCTGAGGAGCCCTTGTATCTATGACACGCCTCTCACCCATCACAGCTCCTATCACATCTAGGGCTGAGGACTGTGCTGCCCAGCCACCCATGCCTCATCTCAGGAACATCTCTTCTGCCCAGTCTTCCCCTTTAGACACTCCTAGGGTTCCTTGTCATCCTCCACCTCTTACCTTCAGGGGGTCTCAGGGCCTGAGAAGGTCATTCAGAAAAAAGATGAAAGCTTTGCCCTGCAGCCCAAAGCCTTCTGCAAATATTTGTAATTCCAAAGTACATCCCTTGGTGGGAATGTTACTGATTAACACAGTGCTCAGAGATAGTGGAGATTCCGGAAAACCGAAGAGGCTTCCCGCATTCCCCAGCTCCTCCTACAGTGCCCAAAAGAATGGGGCTACACTTCGGGCTTCTGCTTTCTGCTCAGTTCCTTCTGGGAGCTGGGAGGGGGTCTCCCCTGAGTAGCTCTACTTGCTGATCATGTTGAGAGAGAAAGCAACGGTGGACCTCATCGCTGCTTCTTAGCCCTCGATGTTCTGGGCACCAAGTGGGATGTGGGGTGGGCATGAAGATGTTCAAGACTCACTTTTGGGGAGACAGACGGGTCCTAGCTCAGGGTAAATGTTGAGACTGAGCCCTCAAGTAGTCAAGGCTGACGGAGACCCTTTAAGATCCCATTTCTCATACCTATCATACTCTTTTTGTTATAATACATGTTTTTATATGGCCCCTATCTGCAAATAAGGTCCACTGGGCTAGACGAGAATGAAGAACTTGGAAATGAATATTCTTATACCCGTACGTCCAGAGCACAGAACATAAACAAGTATAGGCTCCTCCAAACCCAACAGCCCCACGCTAACCCTCCAAGTCTTCTTTCCAAAGTCTTTCTGATTTTCCATATACAAAAAATATGAGGAAATGTAAGCTACCTGAGATAAAAGGAATATTTCACAATAGAAAATACAGTCTTTTATGCCAGCAGAAGGTTAAAAAAAAAGATAAAATGTAATGTTAAAAAAATGCAATCTTTCAAGTAAAAGCTTAGAGCAAATGGATCTTGGCCAAGGTGAAAAGTGCTACGTCTCCATCCAAACTTGAGGACAAGTGAGGCCCTCACTACGCATAACCAAAAAGGGGCAGTCAGAAATTTCACCCCAAGAAATGCTTTAAAGACTCTTGAGTGTCTTTTGTGTATAGGCACCTTAATTTAAGAAAGCCAAGACCTCATAAGATCATCATTAACAGTCCATTTCATGATCCGATAGGAAAATCAAGATTCAAAGAAACAAAATAGACTCCTATAATATTCATTAATAGAAACTTCAAACTTTTGTCTTCTTCCATCAGAAAGATCCCCAAATGCAAACGAGAAAGACTAAATTCTTCAAAGTGACATAGGTATTCTGGATACAGGTTAATCCAGCCTTCTGATTTGGCACTGGAGGTGATCCATGAACATCTGCATAGAGCTTTTGAGTGGAGGAAAAGGTAATTTTAAGAATGTTTCTATGCCTCTCAAGATGAGACCAAAAACCAGCATGCCAACTCTGAGCCACTTTTGACAATGTTGGGAAGCCAGGGGTTTTCATATTATTTTTATATTTTTGTTCCTTTTTTTAGACATGAAGCAGATCAAGGAGACTGAAAGTGGTCCTGAGGTCTGTGCACCTCCAAAGTTATCTTTTTTTACTTTTTATTTTTGTCGGCACAGAATGATCGCATTCATTGTGAAGAGTTGGTTCATGTGCATGACACATCTTTAATTCTTTTTCATCCTCTTTTTCTCCTCTCCTACCCCTCTTCCTCTATTTTTAGTCCCCTTCCCTTTTGCAAAAGATCTATCTCATTTCTCATTATCTGCCTTGTAGTTTGCGCTTTATTTATGGGCACCTTAAAAGAAAAATAACTCAAGTCCTTGAGTTTTAAACAGCCACTGTGAACCACTCAGCAAAACTAGCAGTGCCCAGCTTGGTGTCAGTACTTTCAGGACTAGAATGGGAAGGGCATAAGCAATCTGCATTCATTCCTGGGTCAGATAGACAGAGGGGGAAGAAATGAAGTCAGTTTCTGTTCACTTTCGTGGTTTCTCTCCCCTTCCCCGCCCTATAGCCTTTTCTTTTCAGTTTTCCTGTGCATTCTTTTGTGTGGTTTTTTTGTGTGGATTTTGGTATCGTCTTGTCTATCCATACATTAACTATTATTGATGTTTTTATTGGAATCACAATAAATTGATAAATTGGTTTGGGAAAACCAATGTGTAGATAATGTTGAAGAACCTTATTCCAAAAGGAACAAATTCCATTTGTTCAAGTCTGATTTTTAAGGAGTGTTTTATAATTTATCAGTGGATTAGCTGCATATTTCTTGTTGAGTTTACTCCTACATGTCGTATCTTTCTGGGGACTCACTTGGTTTCTATCATCTATTCTCCCTCCAGTCTCCTCCCACTCCCCTCTCCCTCCTCATCCTCCTTCTCCTCCTCCTGTCTCTCTCTCCCTTCTTCCTTCCCCCTCTTCTTCCTCTTCCTGTGCCTCTCTCTTCTCTTTCTCCCTCCCTCTCTCCTCTCTCTTCTTTCCTCTTCCCTCTCCTTTCTCCTCCTTCTTATTTAGTTCCTTTTCTCATTTTAATGCTGGGCAGAGGAACCAGGAAGGTGAAGCCTCTTCCTCCCATAGTGTCTCTTGCACACCCTCTACTGATAGAATTTCATATCATGCCCATTTTTCAAAGCAAAAATATTGAAAAGGTCCAGACTAATCTTTGCAGAGCAACAGTGAAGGGAGGATTTGGATCTGAGAAGCAATAAATTGATTATTAGCATAGAAAATGTTTTCATTTTTGCTTTAAACAGTTAATTCTATGTAAAAGCTATTTTTGAAGTATTTGTGCCCACCTTCTACCTTTTCCAGTGAACCTCGTTCTTTTGTGTATGCCCAAGAGTCCTACTGGAATCATTTTTTTCTGCCTAAAGAACTACTTTGAAAACTTATTAATGAATATGATACAGTTTATCAGCTTTTTATCTTTCTGGAAAAAATATTTACTTTGTCTTCATTTTTGAAGCATAGATTTTACATTTTTTTCTCCTTTCGAAGAATATTATGACATGTTCCCTTTCCAGACGTTAAGGACATCTTTCCACTGTGTTGCAGCTGAGATGATTTCTTATTTAACTTTCTATTTAGAAAACTTACAAACAAGAGTATCCTCTTATACCCTTCACCCCGTTTCTACAAATATGAGCCCATCTCAGGACCGTAGTACGTAACCATCAAAACCAGGAAATGGCACGGATGTGATATTGATGTCATGCGTTTTTCAGTTACCCCACCAGGGTCCTTTTCTGGGGCCCAGAGTCAAGTCCCAGACCCCTGCTTACACCGGCTGTCATGTCCCCTCTTTTCAGTCTGTGTGGAACAATAGCAGGACTGTCATTTTCTTAGGCCTTTGGAAGAGTGCTGGCAGGCAACTGTGGTAGGATGTCTTTCGGGTGGGTTGGTCTGATGTCTTCTGTTGTCCAATTCAGGTAATACATCGTGGTGGCAATGCCAAGAAGTCCACCTCATGTCTTGTGTCACCTCAGCCAGCTGGTGTAGTTTCTGATGAGAAAAGGAGCCTTGCCTTTATCTCTGTGCCCTGTATCTAATGTGGGTTTTTTGTTTTTTTTTATTTCTGGCTCTGTTGCAGATTTTTCTCTAGATCCTTGGTTTTAAAAGTTTGATTATGCTATTCCTTAGCTGGGGTTCTTTGAGTTTTTCTTGCTTTGAATTTGTTAAAATTCTTCCACCTGGGTATTTATAGCTTTCATTGATTTTGGAAAACGAAAATTATCTATTACTTCTTTGTATTTTTCTGTCCTGTACACCTGTCCCTTCCTGAGACTCCCATTCCAGGTAATAATGCAATATTGCAGGCTTAGTTCAAATGTGGTTTTCTTTGCACTGCTGTTGACTTTATAGCATAAGGAATATGCATAAGAAATTCATGTTTATGATGCTTCCATTATCCTAGGGCCACCCAGAACTTAATTTTGGTCTTTTAAAGTAACTGTTGACTTGTAGGAAAATCATGTTTTTACACATTTTTGTCAGTTTATCATTTGTCTTATAGTTAAATTTTCTATGAAGTTGATTGTATAAATACTTCATTTAATGGGTTTCAAGCATTCTCAGATAAGCCTTTCTCATGAGATTATTTTTAATAATTTTATTATTTGTTTGATACTGGGGTTGGAACTTGGGTCCCTGTGCTTGCAAGGCAGGTGGCAGAACCATTGAGCTAAATCCCCAGCCCTCATGAGATTACTTTTAAAACACTCATATATCTGCTTGTTATTTTATGATTTTAATTTTTTATATTCAAATCTTTGCTCTGTCTGGAATTGATACTACTATAAAGATGAAAATGATCTCAATGCTACCTTGTCTCTTCACTGATTGAACTCTGGTCCTTGCACTTGCAAGGCAGGCCACCGAACCGCTGAGCTAAATCCCCGACCTGCAATCGTTCTTAATAAATGTTTTGCTACAGTTTGTTTTCCCCATGTTTTGGAAATGGCACTTTCTATTTATTGCAAATTTCCATTAATAAATAAAAAATAGGCTCCAAAATGACACTACTCCCCTCATACACATCTGTAATGCATTCAGTGGGGTGGGTTTAGGGTAAAGGAAATTTATAAACTCTGTGTTGTCCATCTTACAAAAACAGCAAATGAAGGGCCAGGGATTTAGCTCAGTGGTGCCACCACCTGCCTCACAAGCTCAAGGTTCCTAGTTCAATACCTGGTACCAAACCAAACCAAACAAAAACAAGCAATGCAAACCCATTTAAAAAAAAAACCAACTCCCCCCCGCCAGTGCAAATCCATAATAACTACCCCCCGGCAACAAAGCAGCCCCCAACAAAGCCAGATAGAAAGAGTCCTGCTATTTGCCATGTGGGTTGGGTCCTACTGAGTTAGGGCCAGGACCGTGGCCTGAAGACAGCAGCTAGGTCTCACCCCTGGGCTTTTGCTGCAGCTGTTTTGCCTTCATATTAAGAAAGGAAAACCAGTGGATGTTAGGCTCTGTTTCACACACCTGCCAAGTTCTGTGCCCAGCTTCCTGGTTGAGCTTGAACCTTTCAGCCACAACAGGCTTCCATCATGGGGCAGCCCCTGCGGTGAGGGTCCAGCCAACCCTCCCAGCCATCCTTACAAGGAAAGACACACAGCTTTCCCGTCTGACCTCTTGATGCCTGGGTGGGGTTCTGTCTCCGGCCAGCCTCACCCTGAAGCCTTGCTCCCTGCATTGCACAGACTTCCAGACTCCCAAAGAGTATCAGATGACACTCTCCTTATTCTTGTCAGGGAAGAGGGTAGGTCTATTGGCTGGAGGAGTCCTTCCTCCTGTGGTAGTACTGGGTGTTAGGGACTGAATGTCTGTGACCCCACAGATGGCCCAGAGTGGGTGAGGCCTCTAGGAAGTGTGAAAGGATTAGTGCCCTTTTACAAGAGATCCTGCTAAGCTTTCTCTGCTCTTTCTACCGAGTTGAGGACTTGGTGAGAAGGTGCCATCTACAAGCTAGGAAGGGAGTCCTTCCCAGGCTGTACCCTGATCACAGACTTTCAGCGTCTAACGCTGTGGGAATGAATGAATTACTGTGGTTTCTAAGCCACCCAGCCCATGGTACTGTGTTATAGCAATTTAGATGAATGAAGACACCAACTCTGGGTTTATGACTGTGTCACCTCTGTGTCCTTATGCCTCCCCTTTCAACCACACTTGTTCTGAGATTTGCAACAATTGTTTTTTATTACAAGACACATAAAGGTAGGGGTAGCTCTGTTTCGGTGGAGGAAAACCAGGAGAAGACAGGGGGAGGCCTCTCCCCAAGACCAGATGGTGCAGTGGCTCCCAGGGGGGCAGTGCTTTCAGCTAGGGTTCACAACCTTCCCCAGGATCAGAGTGCTCCATGTGAAGTCATCGAAGATCAGGACAAGGAAGGGCCAGTTGAAACTGAGAGTGACCGGCTCAGACTCCAGCTTTGAGGTGGCCCCAGGGGTGGCTGCTGCATTCTTACCGTTCTCATCTATCTGCAGCGTGGCCTTGTGGATGACCTGTGGGCAGTGTGAGGATGGCAGTAGGTGAGTCCCTTGCCATGTGCCAGGGCCTCATCCCATGGACTCTCTGCACCTCCACTTTTTGGCCTCTTTTTTTTTTTTTTTTTTTGGTACAGGGTATCGAACTTGCAGTTGCAAGGCAGGCAGCGGAAACACTGAGCCAAATCCCTAGCCCTAACCTCCAGTTTTTGGAACTGAAGGCAAACCTTGGTCACTCGGTGGCTTCTCACCTGAGCCGTGTCCACAGGACAAGAGCCCAGGCCCCTGTCTGACCTGCATGTCCCCCTTGCACCTGTAACATGTTAGCCAGGCTTCAACGTCTGTCGTGGGCGCCCCTTACTGTGTCCCGACCTGGTAGAGGGAGACCTTGCTCTCTGCTCACTCTGCTGGAGAAATATCACATTCAAACTGGGCAAAGTGCTTGTGCCTCCCCTGGACAGGGGAGCTGAGAATGCTAGTCTTTGTTGATATGTTCCTCAAGAAGGAATTCCGAAATGAGCAAGAGGTTTGACTGACTTGGAGAGAAAGCCTCTGACAGATCATGGTCTGGCTAATGAGCAGGTGCCATTCTGGGCACTCACGATACCCTGCAGGATGGTAACTCCCTTCAGCTCTACTTTATAGCCAGGGCTCCCAAGTTCTAGGCAGCTGTGACTGGCACCATGACTAGGAACAGATGGGGCTCAGACCGAAGTCCCTGCTGTGGATCTTGAGAAAATGAGGTTTGGGTCAACACGTCAGACTTACTTGTGAGCTCTGTGACCATGGACAAGCTCTTTTCCCTCCCTGGGTTAGGGATTCCTCCTGAGAGACTGAGGTGCTACCTGCCTTAGAAGGAGCAGCTGATGTACTGAATCCCCTCACACAACATGCACTGACTGGACAGGGAACCACCAAGGCCACGGAGCCCTGTGTTTGGAGGGTGGAGGCCACATCCCCAGAGCCTAGCACAGGGTGGGAGCACATCGTAGGGGCTCAGTAAAAAAATTTCTGAACAAAGATAGAATAGCAGAACATCAAACTGAAGGAGAATAAGTGTAACTGAGTAGAAGGTTCTGTGTGATCCAAATCAGATATCTACCACGCTCCCTGTTTCTTTTTGCCAGGGGCTGTTCGCAGAGCCACCATATTGCACAGTGATGCTTGGGCTGTGGACTGCCCTTGTAACCAGCTTCCTGTTTGATTTTGGGGATGTCAGTTTTCTAGGTGAGCCTCAGATGACCTCACTGTAGGTGGAGGGGATTGAACCCAGACCTAGGTTCTCAGGCTGGGAATGAAGGGTATTCATGACTATTTTTATTGTGACTTTTAGAGGAAGAAAAACAGAAAAGTATGGGTTCTGGAGACATTTCTTACCTTTGATAGCATCAGTGGAGCCTCCTGGGTGATGCCTGAGAAATTGGCCCCGGGGGTGAACAAGTCCACGATGCCCATGTCGGCCAGCATGGCCCTGAGGTCGTAGGCACTGGAGATGGACAGCTTTGGCAGGTACAGGTCTACCTGGCTGCTCAGAACAAGCAGGGGAGGTTAGAGGTGGGGGCTGGGCCCGTGGAGGGAGTGATGCCTTTGAGCTGATTCTCCCTGTGATACAGCTCCACCACTGGGTGTCAGAGATACTGGTCCCTGAGGAAGTCCGTCTGAGCTGGGCATAGTGGCATCCCTGCAGTCCCAGCCCTCTGGGAGGCTGAGGCCGGAGGAGCGCAAGTTTGAGCCCAGTTTGGTCAAGTTGGTGATATAGCCAGGCCTTGTCTCAAAATTTTAAAAAAAGAAAAAAAAGTGCGGTGGTGGTAGATAGTATGAAGTTCAGTGAGAAGGGTCTGAGTTCAGTCCCCAGTGCCACAAGGAAAAATGAAAGTCTTTTTGGTTCCCAGAAAGCCCGTGCTAGAAGCAACAGAGGTAAGGAGGGAGCACTCCGGGGGTCGTGGCCCTACACCCCACCCCCGTGCCCAGTGGTTTTTAGCTAAGTTTGCCTGCTCTGTGCTGGCAGGAGAGCACTTGCTGGTCAGAGTCCAGGGTTCTACAAGGACTCGGTTGTGCTGGTGAGAAGCAAGGGGCGTGGGACCACGCTGAGGAGGGAGGAAGAAGACAGCGTGAGGGCCTTCGTGTTTACTTCGCAGAGGCAGATTGAGGCTGAAACTCAGTGGTCCAGGGTTCCCCAAGGCCCTCTTGGGGCGGCTGGATGGTCACTCCCAGCTCCGAGGGCGAGGCATGGGGCCGTGGTGTGTGGGTTGCTGGCCGATGTTGTCTACAATGGAGTATTTTCAAGCAGTTTTTTTTTTGGTGGGGGGAATCCATCGCTTTATTTTCCGTAAGGGTCAGAATGTTTGACTCATTGTTGGTTTATTATCGCCACCTGGTGGCATTACACTTAGATCACAGGTTGGCTTTGCATGGTAAGGGTGTGGTGGCGCTGGGAACAATGAAGAGTTCAATCCAGAAAGGTGGTGCGCGACTGTAATCCCAGCACAGGGAGAGGCCGAGGCTGGAGGATAGTTCAGTGGTGCCGCCTGCTTCGCAAGTGCAAGGTCCTGAGTTGGATCCCAGTCAAAGAAAAAAAAAAAAAAAAAAA